CACAAGTATATGGTTGGATCGGGTGGCACGCCGCCACAGATATGTTGTTTGGATCAGGTGGCACGCCGCCACGGGTATCATGGTTGGATCGAGTTGCACGCCCAACGGTATCATGTGTGGATCGAGTTGCACGCCGCAACAGTGTGATATTGAGTACAGTTTCCCATATCTATCATTGTGTGTTTTTTTTCTCGTTTCCTGAGGAAGGTTCATAACATCTTTTTGGTTGTTTAAATTAGTTACGTGGGTTGAGTAGATCTTTCCAAAGTTCGTTTCCTTATGTATCACCTTCGAGTTTGTAGCTTGTTGGCACATTGTGGCATCATATGAGACTTTTGGCAGTGTCTGAGGTGGCTTACTGCCTAAGCAGCTTGTACTGGGTGAGACGATATTATTGGACCTGGGATCAGTGTGATCAAATTTATATAAAGCATATTAAAGAGTAAATATTGTTATTCAGTCCATAATGAAGTAATGGTTATTGTCGAGAGGAGAGACTCCATAAATTGTGATTCAACAAGTGGTTATGAGTTCTACATATCTTCTCTGTCATGGCAGTATTGCAAGAGTTGGAACAGGACTTATATGAGTCATGAGGTATGTTGTGAGCATTGAATTCGTGGGTTTTCGGTTGTTGTTATCTGGGGATGTTATTATGGTCATGTGAATTATGCGGTGCATGGTGTGGATTCCGCGAAAGTATGCGAACATGTATTGGTGCATCGTGTAGTGATTAATACGGAGCTTGTATGTTGGAAACAGACCTGGTAGAGGAATTTCAGATGTTGGAATTTGTCTCTAAGGCTTATTTGCCTAAATAAAAGGGAGGATTTTCAGGTTTGCTCAAGATAATGTGCTCCGCTAGGTTGTGGTAGCACGGGTAGGTGCACGAGGTATTAAATAGTGATTTCAGACAACTCCAGAGCAGTTCTTATCACGTTCACGGACGAACGTATGTTTAAGTGGGAGAGAATGTAACGACCCGACCGGTCGTTTTGAGCTCTAGCACGTCGTTCGACGGTTTTAGACCTTGAGTAGTTTCACTTCAGGTATTATGATTTGCACGTATGGTCAGAATTGAATTTCGGAAAGTTCGGAGTTAGTTTGGGAAGAAAATTCTAATTTCGGAAGTTTTAAGTTAGAAGAATTGATTAAGGTTTGATTTTTGAGTAAACGATCTCAGAATCAGGATTTGAAGGTTTCAACAGTTTCGTATGATGATTTTGGACTTGGGTGTATAACCGGATCGGGTTTTTGGATGACCGGGGAACGTTTCGGCGCCTATTGTGGAAGTTGGCATTTTGGAAGAATTTTCTAAATTTGGGTTGAAGTGCATTTCAATGTTATTGATGCGTGTTTGGGATTTCAAGTCTGGGAATAGCTCCGTATGGTGATTCTGGTATTAGGAGCGCGTCCGGATGTGGATTTGGAGGTCTGTAGGTCATTTTGAGGTCATTTGGCGAAAGTTGAAATTTGAAGGTTTTTGGGAAGTTTGACCGGGAGTGGACTTTTTGATATCGGGGTTGGATTCTGATTTCGGAAGTTGGAGTAGGTCCATAATGTCAATTTTGACTTGTGTGCAAAATTTGAGGTCAATCGGACATGATTTGATAGGTTTCGGCATCGATTGTAGAAGTTTAAAATTTCAAAGTTCATTAAGTTTGAATTGAAGGGTGATTCGTAGTTTCGATGTTCTTTGGCGCGATTTGAGGCCTCGACTAAGTTCGTAATGTGTTTTGGGACGTGTTGGTATATTTGGTTAAAGTTCGGAGGGCCTCGGGATGGTTTCGGGTGGTCAAAGGATAAATTTTTGGACTAAAGGAATGATGAGGCAGCTAGTATCTGGTGTAACCGCACCTGCGAGATTTTGGCCGCAGGTGCGGAACCGCAGAAGCGGCCATGAGGGGCGCAGGTGCGATTTTAGTTGGGCAGTTCTGAGACCGCATATACGATTATCTCGCCGCAGAAGCGGGACCGCACCTGCGGAAGGGAAGGCACAGAAGAGGAAGCAGCGGCTGGGGGCATCTCCGCAGAAGCGGAATAATTGCCGCACCTGCGGAACCGCAGAAGCGGTCAAGTGACCGCAGGTGCGAGAATTCGAGTTGGGAAGTGAGGTTTCCTTTAAAACAGGATTTGGCCCATTTTTCACTTGGTTGGGCAATTTTAAAGAGTTTCAAGTGGAGGTTTTCATCATCTATGTCAAGGTAAGTTATTCATATCCATTGCAAGTTAAATACATGGTTTGTATAAGGATTTAAGCATGAAAATTAGTAGAAATTGTGAGGGTTTTGGTAGAAAATCTAGAAATTATATTTTTGTATTTTGACCACGAATTTGGGCATGAAATTGAGAATAAATTATATATTTGAGCTTGTTATGCTATGGGTAGTGTTTATCTTCGAAAATATTCGGAATCCGGGCACGTGAGCCCAAGGGTGATTTTTATCGACTTTTCGAGCGGAGTTGAAAATTATTGTAAATTGAATTATAATGAGTATTAGATTATATATTTATGGATTTGCACATTTATTACATAGTTTTGGAGCGATGGGCATCAGTTTGAGGTGTTAGAGAGGCTTTGGAGTTGGTTATGAAATTTTGGAGCGAGGTAAGTCTCCTGTCTAACTTTGTGAGGGAAAAATTACCCCTAGGTGATATGTTTGATGTGTGCTACTTGTTGTGGGGACTACGTACATGCGAGTTGACTAGAGCCCGTACGTAGCTACATTCATGTTATTGTCCGGCTAAACTTAGGTTCACATCATGCTATAGCTGTACTATTTGAGTAGTCTCTCGCTTATTAATTCCCCTGNCGTAAGTGGGGTAAAGGACCCATCAAAGCTTCTTATTCTAATGGGATCGGGCCGTTCGCCTCGACAGGATTATGTATTTCATTTCTTATGGGATCGGGTCGTTCGCCTCAGCAGAAATTTGTATTTCACTTCTTATGGGATCGGGTCGTTTGCCTCAACAGGATTTATGTACCACACTCTCATGGGAGCGGGTCGTTCGCCTCGGCAGGTTAATTGATCTATCATATGGTTCATGCCGTTCGACCCTTGGCTGTGCACAATTTTATTATTATGTTGGATCGGGCCGTACGCCTCGGTACACGCTGGGTGTTATTACAATATATTCCTATACTAATTTTGCTTACGTACTCATACTACACTTGCTGCACATTTTTGTGCAGGTACATATATGTCTAGAGGCCATGTGAGAGCAGAGGTGTGTATACATGCGGGGACCTAGGTGAGTTGCATTCCATTTGTCGACTCGCAGCCAGCAGAGTCTCCTTCAGAGTATTTACATTTTTCCTGTCCAATTTGTATTCTGGACAACTGTTGTATTTTATTTTATATTCCTAGTTAATCCCCATGCACTTGTGACACCTGATTTTAGGATGATTATGGATTGTTCTGTATTAAATTTGTTAAAAGTATTATTATTTACTCTGTAATCCTCATTCTTTACTATTTAAATTGAAGGAAAATATGATTTCAAAAATAATAAAATGAGAACCCAATTAAGTAATTATTGTTGGCTTGCCTGACAGTGGTGTCCGGCGCCATCACGACCATTATGTATTTTGGGTCGTGACATAAAGGATTTTTGTAACTTATTTCTCATAAAATGTTTTTACAAATATAAAAAGTTAAAATATTTTTTTTTTGTAAATCAGGCATACTTTTAAAAAAATTCAATTAAATGAGAACTGATTATATAAATACAAAAAAATTATGGGAATTGGTTGAAAGAATAAATTGCAATTATGATTTTAACATGAATTTCATAATTTTACTCTTTCTAGGATAGTATTAACGTAGTCCTTTGATTAGAAACCATCAACTGTGAGTAATTTCGTTACAATGATTGTTCCACATGTTACATGCTTGGACAGTGAAAGAAAGCTCTCTTCAAGATGAAAAGTAGATTAATCCGATGCAGTAGTTGTATTCTTCTTTTGCATGATTTGTTCTTTTTTAATCTATAGGAAACAATTCATATATTATTTTATACTGATTGAAGAAACAGAACAGTTACTACACTTTTTGCGAGAAAAAAAATAAAAGAAGACGTCTTTTGTCAATTAGAGCGCGTCCAAACCTGCGTCCATGATTAGTATTTATCATTTTTGGAACATGTAATTTTTGTTAATTTTTATTTTATAATACAAGTACAACTTTTGAATATTATTTATGTTATTTTTAAAAAGTTATTCTTATCAACACGAGGTACACGCGCAACGCGCGTACTTTAGATTAAAAGAGAAAAAAGTTTAGAAAGAAGTAAAAAAGAAACAAGGTTAATAATTTAAAGTGTGAATTACTAGGTATTTAAAATGTTTATTTGAGCAATAAAGGGAGGAGAGAAGTTATATAGTTCAAAGATGTGGGCAGGTATTTGATTTTTAAAGCAAAGTTAGAAGGTAAACGGGGGAAACGTTGCAATCTTCCAGTTGTGATGGTAAATTACGATTCTTAAGTGACATTTACTGATTGCGATTTATAAGTTGCATTAATCTATGAGACACTCGCAATTACTATCTGTTTTTAAGAACAAGATGTGATTATGTTCATGACTCCCGGTGGAAAATAGTTACATCTTGTTAAATAATAAAGAGACGTAAAACAAATTGGTGCTTACGTAATTTATTTTGCTATGACACATCAGATTTGCATTGCTTACAACTAGCTTCTTCGGCCTTCCACCAAAAATAAGAAAAAAACATTCTATTTAGCTAAAAGCTAACTGACTGCAGGTTCACATGCCTTCCAGACCAACAATTACAATTCAAGAGCACATGAATAGGTAATATATACTAAGCTCTTCCACTGGCCCGGAAAAAAGTCCTCTACAAAAAGCAAAATATATCGTTCGTCTAACAGTTGAATCTTTATATCTCTACAAGTTTCCTGTGCAAAATGTTGGATGAGGATGTTGATTAACGGTCAACATCTGCAATACGCATTTTATAATGCTTCGCCAATCGAGTAGCAGTTCCACTTTTAGTGACATCTTCTATGAGTTCAAACTTACTATAGATTATATTCAGTGACTCTGACTGCTCTTTCGCCAGTTCTTCTTCCTCCTCCAATTGACGCTACATGAGACAACGGACCCTTGAGACAACAATGTATAATACAGTACTTGGATTATAGCCACAAAACCAAATTATGTGAACGATTGAAGAAGAACTAAAATTGGAAATTTACCTTCAGCAGAAAGTTGACCTCTTTTGCATGCTTCCTAACAATAAGCTTCATCTTCATGGCCACTTCAAAATCAGGATCACTGGTTTTCAACCAACGACACACTATCTTCCTACCAGGTTTCCTTGGACGGTCATCAAACATCTCTGCTACAGCAGAACATGCCCTAACAGGCCTTGGCATGCCCGAGATCATGAATGGGGAATTGCGTATCTCAGAAATTATTGTTTTTGCCTCTTTTGCACTCTGCATCTCTACTAAAGCAGCACACGCCATGCCTTTCATCTCAAGGTAGCTTCTTATAAACTCAACTTGAATGACATTCCCGAATTGATCAAGTGCAGCTTTAAGCACAGACTCCTTGGCTAAAGGCGAAAGGTTGTCAATATATATGGTACGTTTCACTTTATCCTCAAAGGAAGCACACTCTTCCATTAAAGCTTCCATGAGAAGTAGAAATTGAATTTCCCAAAAAAATACAAGCAATTCGCCAGCACCTTCATAAAAACAAGTAAAACATACTTTAAACATTATTTTGAAGGTCCCATAATGATAATGTTACCGAAAATCATCCAATTGCAAGTGAAGCAAATTAACATCAACAACAACAACTATGCCTCAGTGCCAAACAATGAAACAAGTTGGAGTCGGCTATATGATGAATCTTCACTGACCACGTTACTCCATTTAAATCATCCCATGCCAATATTATGCAAATACAAACAAAAAGTAAAAAGTAACCATCTTAATGTAAAAATCTATCAGCTGAGAACTTAAACTTCAAATCTATCAGCTGAAGAGTTAACCAGATTATCATGCCTCAGACTACCACATCCGTCTCAACTCTCAAACAGCTATAATACTCATCACTCCAACAAACAATTTGCCAATCCACGGGAAAACCACACCATAATGAACACATGAATGTCACTATTTGTTACTAAAACAAAAAGTTTCCAACATAAAAGCTTGACTAGTTAAAATCAAAACTCTAACGGGCAGCTCAAGTCTAGGAGTGTGATGTAGATAGTGGTTAATTCCACAACTCGAACTCGTAACCTATAGGTCACATGGAGACAATTTTAGTGTTGCTCCAAGGTTCCCCTTCTATTATTAGAACTCTGCAAACACAATATTACGGCACCACCTTTCCATTCATTCCTGATAGTAATCTTACTAATGCTCCATATTTTCAGGATAACTAGGACTATGTGGCTCTGCTACTAGCCTATAGAGAAAGCCTCCCTAAATGGAGCTTCAATCAGCAAAAGAATGAAGATTTCCCCATCAATGTTTGCTTCAACTAATGCCATTACAACCTTAATAAGCACAGAAGAATAAGAATCAAATTATCTCCATGATGCGACCATTAAAAATGGTAAAACATTTTGGTTTTTCTTCCTTTGAAATAAGCTGCTCTTTAATGGAACGTATCTAGATCACAAGGCTAATATTATTCGTATTTTTCCGGTTCCCAATCTCCGTGATCCAACCCAACCTACTTGACAAATGTGCTAAGTGTTGGGAATAAACCCCCTACAGAAATAATATTCACAGTAATAAAAGCGGAATAATAACGTAGCACCGAGATATGATTATTAACAAGAATAAAAGAGTGACTACGACACCAAAATTATTACGTGGAAAACCCTTTTGAATAAGAAAAAAAAATCACGTCCCCGAGACGAGCAACTGATATCACTATAGCAAGGAATTTTACACTTTGTAGGTCCGAGTAAAATACTCCAAAGACCAATACAACACTCAAAAGAAATAACCCTCTTTTGATATTCCCACCTCACTACAATATCGCTCACTCTCTATTTTTTTTCACAAACCATTTTCTTATACCCTGTCTGTGAAACCTCACTCTTTCTTTCTAACTCTTAGATATATTTTTCCTCTGAGATGGGTGTGTAAAATGAGAAGGTGAAGGCTTCTATTTTAGGAAGAAGTGTCGTAACCAAAACCAATTTTGGTCAAAAAACGTGTTTCGGTGCCAACTACTAATTTTGGCATCTTGCAGATTTTTCTTCTTCATTATGGGGATGGACCCCATAATCTTTTTCTTCTTTCTTCATTACGGGGATCCACCCCACAATCTTCTACTTTGTTTCATTATGGGACTGGACCCCACAAATCTCCCCCTCCAGACCCATTCACCTAAATGAGGTAACACCGGACTTCTAGCTTGAGTGCATGCCGACAAGTTCTTTGCATAGCTCGAACTTGTCTCTTGGTACCACCTTAGTCAGCATATCCGAAGGATTCTCGCTTGTATGGATCTTCTTGACCTGTATAGATCCATCCTCTATTCTTTCTCGAATCCAATGATATCTCACGTCGATATGCTTCGTCCTTGCGTGATACATGGTATTTTTGCTCAGGTCTATTGCACTTTGACTGTCACAATAGACGACATACTCGTTTTGATGCAATCCAAGCTCTCGAAGGAACCGTTTCAGCCAAACCATCTCCTTGCCAGCTTCAGTAGCGACAATATACTCTGCTTCAGTTGTAGAGAGTGCGACACACTTCTGCAACTTCGACTGCCATAATATAGCTCCCCTTGAAAATGTGAACAGGTATCCTGTAGTAGATTTACGATTATCCAGATCACCTGCCATATCAGCATCTGTGTAGCCCTTCAAGATTGGATCAGATCCTCCAAAACACAAGCAATCTCCTGTGGTACCTCTCAAGTACCTCAATATCCACTTGACTGCTTCCCAATGTTTTTTTCCTAGATTTTCAAGAAATTTGCTGACAACACCAACTGCATGAGCAATATCAAGTTTGGTGCATACCATTGCATACATAAAGCTTTCGACTGTTGAAGAATAAGGAAAGCTAGCCATGTTCCCTTTCTCCTCTACTGTTGTAGGACACATCTTCTTGCTTAACTTTAGATGACTAGCAAGAGATGTGCTGACTGGTTTAGCATTCTTCATGTTGAAGCGTTCCAGTACACGTTCAATGTAATTCTCCTTAGACAGCCACAACTTTCTGCTTGTTCGCTCTCGAACTATCTTCATACCGAGAATTTGTTGTGCTGGGCCCAACTCTTTCATATCAAATGACTTGGACAAATCCCCCTTCAACTTTGTGATAAGCCCCTTGTTTTTTTCCTACAATTAACATGTCATCCACATACAATAATAATATAATAAAGTTATTCTCGAAAAATCTTTTGAAGTATACACATGGATCAGAATATGTCTTTGTGTAAGTTTGACTTTTCATGAATGAGTCAAACTTCTTGTACCACTGCCTTGGTGCCTGCTTCAACCCATAAAGACTCTTATTCAGTTTGCACACCATGTGTTTCCTTTCAGCTACTTCAAATCCTTCTGGCTGCTCCATATAAATCTCATCTTCCAAATCTCCATAAAGAAATGCAATTTTCACGTCCAACTGCTCTACTTCAAGATCTAGGCTAGCTGTTAAGCTCAAATTGTTCGAATAGAAGTCATTTTGACAACATGTGAGAAAATTTCGTCAAAATCAATATCTTTCTTCTGTTCGAAGCCTTTAACCACCAATCGAGCTTTGTATCTGACCAGCTTTCCATTTCCATCTTTCTTGAGTTTAAAGACCCATTTGCATTTGAGTGGTCTTTTACCCTTTGGAAGTTCAATCAGCTTGTACGTGCCATTTTTCTGTAGAGATTATCTTTTCTTGCATGGCTTTCATCCACTGGTTTTTTTCTAGATGGGACAGCACCTCCTTAAGACTTTTTGGCTCCCCATCATCACTGATGAGGACATACTCTGTGGCAGGGTACCTGCATAACTCTACCCTTGGCCTTTTTGATCTCCTCAGAGGTTGAGGTTGTTCTTCTCCCCGAGTGGGGTGCTCCACTTGCTCGACATCATCATCAAGTTGCTCCCCCTGTTCAATAACCTCACCAAGTTGCTCCCTCTGCTCGGCAACCTCGTCTATCGTACTTTCTGCACTTGTGGGATAGTTAGAAGAAGGAATGGTAACAAGGTTAGAGATTATACCATTCTTTGTCTTCTATGATTGATCATCTACAGCTCCAACTTCACTTTCTCGGAAGATTACATCTCTGCTTCTAATGACCTTTTTTGTAAGATCCCACAATCTGTACCCGAACTCTTCATCTCCATATCCGATGAATATGCATGGAACATATTTATCATCCAGCTTTGTTCTCTGCTCATTTGGTACATGTGCAAAAGCCCTGTAGCCGAACACCTTCAGATGCGAGTAGGACACCTCCTTGTTGGTCCATACTCTCTCTGGGATGTCAAAGGCCAACGGAACTGATGGACTCCTATTGATCAGGTAACAGGCTGTCTGAACTGCTTCACCCCAGAATGACTTAGGTAGTTTAGCCATTCTGAGCATGCTTCTCACCTTCTCCACAATGGTGCGGTTCATCCTTTCGGTTACGCCATTGTGTTGTGGGGTTCCAGGAATTGTCTTTTCATGTCCGATCCCATGGATCGAACAGTACTCTTCAAATTCACTTGAAGTGTACTCACCTCCATTGTCACTTCGGAGACGCTTTAGCTTTTGGCCTGTCTCACCATAGCATGAAACATCTGGAAAACTTAAAACACCTGATCTTTGGTTTTCAAAATATAAACCCATAATTTTCGTAAAGCATCATCAATAANTTTGTGTTACCCATTCTTACAAGGCCGAAATCACCTGCCACATATCTGCAAAAAAGATCTCTTACCGGTGTGGCATGGTAAGATGTTGTATCAACCACCCATTCCGATTCTGGACTTGATAAGTGTATGCATTCCTCTTCCTCGTTTATAAAGAGGACAACATTATCATTGTTTTGCACCATGGCGGTTGTGTTGTTGTCATTCTTCTGGCCACTGCTTTCACCTTTGCCCTCCCTTAGATTTGGGCAATCTCTTTTGAAGTGACCTGGTTGATCACAATTGTAGCAATTTCTGGCACTTGATTTGGATCGGTTCTTAGACTTCCCACGAGCTCCGGATCTACCATAGTTGCTCGAACTCCTTTGATAACTCCTGCCTCTACCTTCTGTGATGAGAGCATGTCCTTGATTTTCAGGCTTCTTTCTCATCTTTTAATTGAGTAGAAGAGCCGATGTGACATCTTTCAACTCAATGGTAGTCTTACCGTGCAGGATGGTTGTTGCCAAATAATCGTACGAAGATGACAATGAGTTCAACAGCAAGATGGCTTTATCTTCTTCTTCGATTTTCACTCCGAGATTGGCGAGCTGTGTGATTAGTCCGTTAAACACATTTAAATGTGACAAAAAATCCGTACTTTCACCCATGTGTAGGGTGTATAGCTGCTTCTTCAGGTACAATTTATTTGTCAGCGTTTTGGACATGTATAAGCTTTCCAACCTTGTCCAAATGCCACATGCGGTGTCTTCATCAATGATGTTATTTACCACATCATCTGATAAGTGCAGCCTGATTGCACTAGCAGCCCTTTCATCCAAGTCAAATCAATCCTCAGCTTTCATGGTATCAGGCTTTTTGGCATCACCATCTAGTACCTTGTGTAATCCTTGTTGGATGAGCAGATCCCTCATCCTTCTTTGTCATGTTAAGAAACCGCTATCTCCGTTAAATTTTGCTACCTCGTACTTTACTCCGGACATTTTTATTTTTTACCGAGTATAGTACTACCGACAGTGAATAGTATTTCTATGAACGAGGAGAACATGTGCTCTGATACCACTTGTTGGGAATAAACCCCCTACAGAAATAATATTCACAGTAATAAAAGCGGAATAATAACGTAGCATCGAGATACGATAATTAACAAGAATAAAAGAGTGACTACGACACCAAGATTTTTACATGGAAAACCCTTTTGAATAAGGGAAAAAAACCGCGGCCCCGAGACGAGCAACTGATATCACTATAGCAAGGAATTTTACACTTTGTAGGTCCGAGTAAAATACTCCAAAGACCACTACAACACTCAAAAGAAATAACCCTCTTTTGATATTCTCACCTCACTACAATATTGCTCACTCTCTATTTATTTATTTTTTGGACCATTTTCTTATAACCTGTCTGTGAAATATCACTCTTTCTTTCTAACTCTCAGATATATTTTTCTCTGAGATGGGTGTGTAAAATGAGAAGCTGAAGGCTTCTATTTATAGGAAGAAATATCGTAACCAAAACTAATTTTGGTCAAAAAACGTATTTCGGTGTCAACTACTAATTTTGGCATCTTGCAGATTTTTCTTCTTCATTATGGGGATGGACCCCACAATCTTTTTCTTTTTTCTTCATTACGGGGATCCACCCTACAATCTCCTTTTTTCTTTGTTTTATTATGAGACTGGACCCCACACTAAACATCATAAAATCTTCAAAATTAGTACTCTCGTCATTCCAACTTGTGTGATACTCTTTTCTTTTTAGTCCATCCCAAAAAGAATGATACATTTTTATATTTAGAAATGATTTATAGTCACACAAATATCTATAACTTGATTTAGATAACAAGTTTCAAAAGTCTTTGTCTATCTAAAACTCCATGCCCAGTCAACATCACATAAATTGGGACAGATGTAGTAATAAAATGCACACAATTGTATTGAATTCAAACAGATAGTCAAGTACACACCTTGAAAGAGAAACTCAAAAATCCAGAAACTTTAACATTACCAAAAAAACGCACATATGCATATTGTAAAGCAGGACAAACTCTTCCTTTTTTAAGTTTCAAGGAAAACATCATTATGGTTAACAATTATCCTAACAAGAAAACCCACAACAAACATAATATTGAATTGTAATCATAAAAGCAACTGTTTGAATCAATAAAAAGAAAAATGTAAACCTATATGAGTAGTGAATCAGAGAAAAAACATGATTAAAAATTATTGAGAAAAGAGAATGGAAAAGGGTTTTGGTTTCGCCATTTTACCAGTTGGAACTTGGAAAGAAGGAAATTGGAGCAGCCCCAATGAGTCTCCACAGAGTCTTCAGTTTTTTTCAAACTGCTAATGAAGAAGATTGCGCCTATTTATTTTGAAATTAAGAGCGTTTTATTTTCTTTTCGGGAAAAAATTGGTACGTTTTATTAAGGGCTCTCTTTTGCATGTCATATTGTTTTTCCTTTTAAATTGCTGACTAGTCACGATTAAAAAAATTTAAAAATATTATAAATATAGTTTGCGATTACAAACTATAGGGGAATATTGTTTTGGGACTAATGCGGCATTGTTTGAGCTTTAGATCGGGTTAATGATTTTATAACAAATTAGCTCAATCTGATAAATGATACTGAAACTAATTCAATTCCGTCATCCCCTTTATAGAGGGTAAAATAAGCATCGGACTATCAAAAATTTAAAAAATCTAGTTGAGTGACATTTCTTTTACAAACAAAAATAATATGACTTTATTATGTAATTTCAAATAATTGAGTGACTATTTGTGTAATGAACTCTCATTAGGAAATTTGCGCCTATTTATTTGAAATTAAGGGCATTTTATTTTTTCTTTTTGGGAAAAAATGGTAAGATTAGCAACTAAGGGTGTGGCAGTGGTCATTAGTTAGGATATGCATAAACTATTCCATGCACATGAAAAAGGGTGTATTGGCCGAAACAAAGCTTGATATGAACAAATCCAAATTGTGCTTTAATGTCGGAAGATCTCAGTCCAAATCTCCAGAGTAACAGTCTACTTGTTAGTTAGAAACTTCTTGTGCAGTAACACATGTCAAATGTAGAGTGAAGAAAGAGAGAAATATTCTGAGTATTCTTCTTTAGCCATCACTTAGGAATAGGGCCTGTTATCTTTAGTTTGTTCCACTTATGTAGGCACTGGTAAAATGGACAAAATTTCTGCCTCCTATATATAGGTAAACAAAGTACATTAAACCTCACTCATAACATTGCTCAGTGTACTAAAAATGGCATCATCTCTGTCTCCCAAATCTGCCTTCACTACTCTACCTGCTTACCTTAACAACCAAGTATTTACCTGCCACTTCCTCTATACACAAAATCTTGTCTTGTTTCTGGAATAAAAAATAATTGTTAGGGTAGAAAGAGTATACAAAATCTTGAATTGGGTTGTATATTAAGTTAATTTAAGCTTGAGAAACCAAAAAAAAAAAAGAACTTTTTTTATGCTGGTATTAGCTTAAAGAAAATCTCTATGTGCAAAGAAAATTCTCTTTCTTTTTGTTTCTTATTCTTATTGTTTTGTCTCCGTGTGGCCTATAACTCACGAGTTCGAGCCGTAGAATCAGCCACTGATGCTTGCATCAGGTAGGCTACCTACATCACAGCCTTTGGAGTGCGGTACTTTACCCTGCGTGAACGTCGAATGCTTTGTGCACCGGGTTGTCCTTTTTTTATTCTAATTGTTTTGAATACTGGACTACTCCACTTGGTAATTTCTTTGGCAGCCTATCAAGAAAATGTTGCATCTGATAGAAGGTTGTGCTAATGTACAGGTAAAATGTCCAGTGACTTGTGTTTGCAAAGCAAACTTGAATGAGAATGGAACTCAAACATTAAGGGTGAAAAAATTCCAATTGAATTGCTCAAGAGACAGAGAGATGGATGTCTCTACAGCAGCTTTGGTCGATTGTGTTGCTGACTTAACGGACGGTATGTACCAAATTTATTTGTAGCCAAAGAATAAAAATGTTTTTAGTTCTTTATTCTCAGGCCGTGGAAATAGCCTATTGCAAAAATGCAGGGTAAGGCTAACAATAGACCCTTGTGGTCCGGCCCTTCCCTGGACCCCGCGCATAGCGGGAGCTTAGTGCACCGGGCTGCCCTTTTTATTCTCAGGACTTATAGTACATATTAACTGATGGCAGATATGGATGCTACGGAATTACCTGATATTGAAATTGGGGAGCCAATGGAGCCTAGTGTTTCAACAATGCTTATGAACTTCAGCAATGAGTTTGATCCTTATGATGCTATGAGTACTCCACTGTATCAAACGTCTACTTTTAAGCAAGTAAGTTTGAGTGAGCTCTTGGGCAATGAAATCTACTTCATTATATGACTTTGAAGCTGCATTTTCACTCAACAAGCAATTCATTTTTGTATAAATAAATGATATTTTAATAACTTTTCCTCATTTGCATGAGTCATGAAAAACTATACATCCTTATGCAGCCTTCAGCCACGGAATTTGGACCTTATGATTATACACGGAGCGGAAATCCAACACGGGATGTACTGGAAAAGTATGTTACAACTACTAATAGGAACTTATGTGCTAACATTTTCTGTGTTTTACCATTATCTCCTTTCAACTTTTCAGGCTCCTTGCCAAGCTTGAGAAAGCAGATAGAGCATTTTGCTTTACTAGTGGAATGACTGCTTTAGCAGCTGTAGCTCGCCTTCTTGGAACTGGTACTTGCAAAATTCTTCATACAAAATTAGAAAGGCTGAACAATATACATATCTGGTTTATTCTGAGAAAAAATTGTGGTTACCGCTTTTGCTTGTAAGTTAATTGTGCTCATGAGAGATGCTTTATGCCTTTTTTTTTAGACCTTAATTGTGTTTGCATGTTCTTTTCTCTCCCTCCAACCCCCCTCGCCCCATGAAAAAGCAAAAGATACCTTCTTTTTGCTAGTTATTTCTTTATTAATATTTGTTACTGACTTCATTTTCAACAGACATGTTATTGCAAGTTGGTTTAGTATCTCCACAAGCTACGGATTCCTAGCTATAGAACGTCTTTAACTCTACCAATGCTAATTTCTTAGGTGAAGAGATTGTGGCTGGTGATGATATGTATGGTGGTTCTGACCGCCTGTTGTCACAAGTAATTCCAAAAACTGGAGTTATAGTGAAGTTAGTATCTCTTTTTTCTGAATGAACTTAGTTCTCTATTTGGTTTTTAGTGTTTTAACCTTTACTTTGTTAACAGACGGGTGGATACAACTAACTTAGACGTGGTTGCCTCTGCAATTGGACCAAATACAAAGCTTGTATGGCTGGAGAGTCCAACCAACCCTCGTCAACAAATTTGTGATATTCGTGTGAGTAACCGGTTTTGGCATATGTAGACTATGCAAATATTGTTTCCCTCTTTACTTGATTGCTGATATGTTGAAGTCTATTAAATATCAATTCATAATTTATACTCACTGAATCTTCTTGATGCCGTCAATGAGACTAAGTACTTCATCAAAAGAATTTCAATAGATAATTACTCACTTTTCTTATATGCATTTTGTCATACTGACTTTTTCCAGAAAATAGCTGAGATGGCTCATGCACATGGGGCTCTTGTACTGGTAGATAACAGTATCATGTCCCCTGTACTGTCCCATCCTTTGGAGCTCGGAGCAGGTATCTACAAATACTTCTTATTAAGGTAACATGAACTTTCTCGTGGTAACATTCGCAAGATGCTGATTACCTTAAATGGTTTGTTATTTCTCAGATTTTGTGATGCATTCAGCTACTAAGTTTATATCTGGACATAGTGATCTGATGGGAGGTGTACTCGCTGTTAAAGGAGAAAGGTATTTTCTTCTTTCATATGATCATATTGGTTTCATGGCTTGATTTACGATTATCATATTTTCTCATGTCATCCTTGGTTTCCTTGAGTTGCTTTAATGGTCAAACCTATCAGATTAAGGAGATCAAACGTAAAATACTTGAAAAGCAACCTTCTTATTAGGTCATCTGGCTTAGTATATTCAATATTACCTGAAGTCTCAATTACTAAGTCTTTATTGCATACTCGGTCTCTTGGGAAGTTATTAACATACCTCCATAGAACACTAGGAATATCTATAAAATAGTAGTTTGGAGTGCAAAAGTCATGTTTTACTTCGAATTAAATGCTAATTTTATTTTTAAAAATATATGATTTTTTCAAAGGTGACAAATGATGTTACCTTCTTGTTAGGTCATTTCTCCTAAAAGATTTAATCACCTGACGATTCTCAGAAATTTTAATCCCAGCACATATAAGCAATTGAATTCACATTTTTTCGACATATCTTGTTCAGATATTGTAGTATCGAATTAATTTATTGCCTATGATAAGTTCCCCTTATGCAGCTCTCTCAGCAAACTGAGTGTGAGAAAATTGTGTATAGCTCCTGGTCCATAACATATTTTTTCTGTAGGCAGTCCTGTCTCTTTTAACCGAATGTGAAGGTTAACATTAGCTCATTGACTTGATCGGATGTTCAATTTACACATAGTTATATATATATATATATAATTTATAAACAAAAGCAAATGATGTCAATGCATTGTGTCTCACTGATTATTTTGTGTATATTTTATGTTGTGCTAATAATCTTTCATTTACACCAGCTTGGCAAAGAATGTGTACTTCCTTCAAAATTCAGAAGGTGCAGGCTTAGCCCCATTTGATTGCTGGCTTTGTTTAAGAGGGATCAAAACAATGGCGCTGCGTGTATTAAAGCAGCAGGTATTAAATTTGCTTGCTTTTTAGCTTTCTGTGCAGTGATTACTTGCTATACCACTTTTGTCACAGACATATACCTTCCCACGCCAAATATATTATTCCTGTTCCAAGAGAGGGCGAGAAACTTTTGGGACTATTGACATACACCTACTCATAAACCCTCATATGCACTCCATTAGATGTGGAAATATGATAATTGAAGGCGATAAAAGAGGACAATGTATGAAATTCCAGTAAGAAATTCAACAAAGGGAAATTTTGTCCTTTATAAATTGTATGACATCCTTTTACAGTTTACTAGTTGATGGAGCTCTATTCCCCCAGTAGTAATTTTTAAAGGTTCATGTATTAGATGTCCTTTTTGGAATATTTCCGCTTCCTATTTGAGAATTCTCTTGCTATCTTTTTCTTTTTGCTTGAATTCAGAGTTCTATTTTCCTCTTATTTATACTTTTTACTGGTGATTGGCTGATTGCTTGCCTGACAATCATAGCATTCAGAAAACATTCTGTCGAAGTTACATTATATATGGGCGCTGTGTGTTTCCACAATATGGCAGGAAAATGCACAAAAGATTGCTGAATTTCTATCATCTCATCCTCGAGTAAAGAAGGTTAACTACGCTGGTCTTCCCGACCATCCTGGTAGATCTTTGCACTATTCTCAGGTATTTTGATCATTATTTATTCCTAACTTTTACTTTTCTAAGTTTAGCAGCAATATTCTTTATGTTTTCAGTTGGCATTTGACTTTTTCATGCTGGTGGTACAGACCAAGGGTGCAGGATCTGTGCTGAGTTTTTTTACAGGGTCATTGGCACTCTCTAAGCATGTAGTTGAGGCTACTAAATACTTCAGCATTACTGTCAGTTTTGGTGAGTTTCATTTTGTGCTCTATCCTCTCTTTCCAATATTAAAGTTCAAATTTTACCTATAGAAAATGCATAAAAATCGCATCTCAACTTTTACATCTGCACTTTTGTCTTCTTTAACAAAGGCAACATTTGCTTTGTCACTGTAAAGCTCAGGGAAGGAAAATGGATAGATAATCTTAATTCATTATGAACCTCTATAATAGAATAGATCGAGAAGTAAGAAATACCGACGCTGCATGTGATATTAAATGCAGAAATTTATTAGCACTTCCATTTTAGCTCTGGAAGTGAATTCCTTTGGAATAGTGTGTCGAATCAGTTCCCTCTTAGGCTAGTTTACTTGAGGAAAAATAGCTGAGATTCAGACATTAATTTTTTTATAGAGTTATCGCTCAGTCCATTATACCCCCTTAAAATAAGCAGAGAATAAAAAGGATATAAGGAAATTTGTAAATTACTCTACCACCGAAAAGCAAAAAAAGTATCCTTTTGTTGGCTGTAACGAAAAACCTGCAGTCCACAGGATGAAGTTACAGACTGAAGTGAATGATTTCCTAGTGAGCTATCTTTGTTCTTGCTAGAAGGGTGGGTGTTTAAATCTGCAAAGTATGCCTCATTTACATGCCATCCGTTCTATTAGTACATTTTACTTTGACTCAATCCTCATTTCTGGCCCCCCCAAATTTGCAGGAAGTGTGAAGTCACTCATATGTCTGCCTTGCTTCATGTCGCATGTGGCTATACCTGCTGAAGTACGCGAGTCTAGAGGTCTTACTAAGGATCTAGTTCGAATTTCTGTTGGGATTGAAGATGTTAACGATTTGATAGCCGATCTAGACAATGCACTTAGAACTGGGCCAGCATAACTTGAGAAGCACTAGAGTTTATCTCATGCCAATCTTGATGCCCTTCGAAATAAATGCCTGTTGCATCACGCGATCACTAGCTGGCACTCTGTATTCTCAACGTGTGCTCTCTCATTTAGTTGTCAGTTTGATTTTAGTTCATAAAATCAAAAGAGTTGGCTTAACTAAAGGTGATGAAAGGCCTGATGTTAAATGTCATCTTGTTGTTTCTGCACTTGTTGGTTCTGGAAAGAATGAAATAAGCAAATGAAGCTGCGCAAGTTCAACAGTCGAATATTTCTACTCTTTTATCTGACTCTATAATAATCCAGAGCATTTAATGACAAGAAAACAGCTGTCAACTGTCACACATAACAAACTAAACCAATTAAACAACAAATAGGCATATATCTGAATCTAAACCAACAGCAAAAATTGATTATAGCAAGGCTTAAAAAGTCATCTAAACAATGAAAATGTGGTGGCTGAATTCTCTTTCCTTCCCCATGGCACTATGAAAAGTTGAAACCCATTCCACTTCCTAAGCAGCATACATTCAATTTAGCGTCACCTATACATCTAAAACCAGACGCATGAGACCTCCATTTTGATTTTTGTAGATGAGCCTTTTTTTGTTTTCCTTTCTTCTTTAGCATCTATTGCAGGGAAGCTATTGTTTGTAGATACTTCCATGTCTTTTAAGAGTAACCATAAAACTTTAACTACTCCATCTTTTATCTTGAAAATATTATGTGCAACTAAAGTGTGCCTCTTCTCTCAACTTATTTTTATTTCATTCTCAATATTAAAACTTAGAAACCTTACTGATCAAAAAGAATAAAAGTTAGCAACTTCTTGGTGGTTTTGTTGAAGACAAAAAAAATTTTTAACAAAAGGTGCCAAGTCATATTCTGGGCAAGGCAGAGAATAAAATCATAAATACACGAGACTACTACTTAAAAGTCAACCTTTTTGCAACAACTAAAGAAAGAGTTGAATGACAAATTTCCCTTCGTGAAATGATTCCATAGCCATTGACACCAATACCTGCGTGCTTTGAGAACACATCAGCAATCATCCAAGTTCAAGCCTTCGATTGGATAAATCACAATAAAATTAAAAGGAAATCCAAGAAAAACAAACGTTCAATTATTCTGAGTACACATTGCATCAGATCTTCACAATCACAGCCCTATTTACAACTTATACATCATAATATGCTATGTTTCTAATTTCTATGACTCACCTCATTTTGCACAACTTCTTAGATTACATTATTTCCTACTCCCCATACCCCATGCATGATCAACCATATCGATTGAGTTATAACCTTGATTGAAACCAACCAATGCCTTCAAAAAGGGGTCGAAGCATTTCCACTTTCGCAATCGTACTTACGGAACATTTGTACTGGAATAATTGGAACTGCAATGATAGAAATCATTCAAACTAAATAAAATGTGATAGTCATAGGAGTTAACCCAACAAATACTATACAAAGAATAAAAATTGCTCAGCTTAGGACATTAAGCTGGAGTATAGGTGCAACCTATATTTCTAAACATGATAGTTTACATATTTAGGATAAAGTTGCAAGATGGTACCATCTGAATGAAAGTTCAGTCAATCGCTAGCAAAATCATCGTAACTCAAGCCTTCTGATATAGCATCCAATCTCTTGATGTCTGCAGAAAATTAAGTAGATATTATTATTGGTAGCTGCCCATAACTCTTCATAAATCACCTCTTTAATTTGTGCCGCTTCATGTGAGCACTTTATGACCTAAAACAAGCATCCAACCTATAAGTCCAATATAGGAGCTTTCTTCTAACAAGCTCTTATTAGGTACGTCAAGAAACGAAGTCGTTCTATTTAATATCGATATGCAGGAAAGAAGATCGAAAGAGCTATTGAGTCGTGCGACTTTCTTTTCCAAAGTAGCTATAGAAAGAGAATACCAGAATTGAGATGCCACACAACCTTGATTTTCTTCACTACCATGAGGATCCAGGAAATTGCAAGTATCTGTTGCTAGGAAGGCCGATCCAGAGTAGCTCTCCAATATATCTGTAAGGAGCAGAAATGAGAGAGAGAGAGAGAGAGAGAGAGAGAGAGAGAGAGAGAGAGAGAGATAAAGCTCTGCACAGAAGTGATTAACTAGGAAGAGAGGGCAAGCACAAACCAGAACTATTGGAAAAATCTGCTGTTAAATCTGACAAACTGAAGTTTCGAGGAATATGCCCCAAGAACCCAAACGAAGTTGAATCAGCGTCCAATACAGACTCATTCAGCACTTGAGAGTTTGATTCTCCGCTGCTGAAAGATGAACCAGATGCATCCCCAGTTTCTGGATGAGCTTCCACGATATTGCTCTCTGTACCATAGAGGAACGGCAAATTGCCTGAATAAACCGCTTCTGATTTGATCATCCCCCCATTCTGTCCTTGCATCATTCCCACATTTGAGCTCTGAGCCAATAGCATGTTTGTTGATGCATCAATTCCTCTTCCATTAGCAGAGACATCAACAGAAGCTTGCATACATGGCTGAAGTGAGGACGCACCATTAGTGTATACGTGAGGTAAATTGGCATTAACGTTCTGGTTTATGTTCTCAGGCTTCACATTAGTTCCAGCATGTTCTGTCGCTTGACACGTTGAGTTCTGAGGCACTACCAATATTTAACAACCATAATGTCACTTACCTTATGTAACAATTAATAAGAAGATGATGAAAGCTAGATTGAAACATCAAGATGGGCACCCAAGTGTATAAGCATGTACAATATTGTGTTGGCAGTGTCGCACCAGCAGTCGAAAAAATTGCGTATAGGAACTATACAATTTTATGCCTCTTACTTCACCCTGAATCAAAACAAACTCAAAAAGCAGATGCCAATTCCATAGAAATATAAGCCTAGAGACCAAGGTAAACAATCAAAAAAGAAAAGAGAAAGCATAGTTCATCCAATATATTCTAATCAGTTTTGATGATGGGATGCTCTTTGTAGAGAAACTTGGTTTCATGTAACATAAATACAATTGTCCGGGGATTCGACATCATATAACTACAAAATTTATCTTCACTAAAATGATGGGTCAAATCATTCCCATGAGTATCCATCTTAAAACTTTACTAACAAAGATATTCTCAGACAATTTTAAGGGCAAAAACTAAGTAAAAATATGAGCAAGAAGAATGGTTGAAGAATGTGTTGGGCGCAGGAGTGAAGCCATTATGAATTTCACAATACAATGAAAGAGATTCAAACACAACAATAATCTCCAGGAAGGTCAATAGAAGAATCTCCGCTAGTTATATCTTACTTGGCCGAATCTGCGAACCATCAGAAATGGCACTGGAACCAGCCTGATATATCTGCATTGTTTCAAGCTGTCTGTGAAGCAAGCCATTGAATCTCTGTATTTGGTCCTTCACTATCAACCTCAAATAATATGCCTGGAAAAATTCCTGGTTTTCTTCTTCAAGCTTTTGCCACACTGGAAAAAGTTCAAGATCACATTCATCTCTTTCATGTAGATACACATGGAGCACATAGATAAAAACCTTATTTACAGATCTTTTTTTTTTTTTTTCAAGAATGACGTTGTTTACAGATCTTAACTAATGAAAAACTCGGCAGAATCCTTAAATTGTCTAAATTTCAGTAAATTCATTTTCGGCACTCTGAACTTAAAATTTATTTTCCAGATATTACTAATTTTTCCGAAGGGGAACCTTGGCGTAACTGGTAAAGTAGCTGCCATGTGACCAGGAGGTCACGGGTTCGAGCCGTGGAAACAGCCTCTTGCAGAAAATGCAAAGTAAGGCTGCGTACAATAGACCCTTATGGTCCGGCCCTTCCCCGGACCCCGCGCATAGCGGGAGCTTAGTGCACCGGGCTGCCCTTTATATTACTAATTTATCCATGAAATAGAGGTACGAGAAGTTCACTCGAAATACTCAAAACTGGATTTTCAATTTCAAATTTTATATTTCAAGTTGAAGTTGAAATAATGAACAAAATTGTAAAACAAAAATCAATTTGAAAATAATATTTCATTATTTGCAAATTGAAGTAATGTCCTGACACCTACTAAGTATTTTCTCTTCTAGAAACTGAAAATACCAATAAATAGTCTACTCTCCAAAAGCTTCATATTAGCAAACGAAGAAACCAGATGAAAAGAGAAAGGAATTACCAAGTTCAGTGAAACCAGGCTCAATCTTTGCCTGATGTAAGAGGGTAGTGGTAACTTCCTTCTGGTTCATGTAAAGCTGCAGGCATCTTTCTATGAGATTTTGCACCTGACAAGGGAGAAACAAAGCTTAAAGAGAGGCAAGAGCTTGTACCACGCAAACAATTTAAGAAACCCAAGGGTTAAATTATCACCAGTTAAACACAAAAAAAAAAACAGCTAAAAAGCAACAATATCTGTAGGTCAACAACTGTGAAGCATTAAATGTCGAGCTGGAGAAACCTACAAGAGATTTGGATGTAATCAACCTAGCATGTAAAGCTCTACATCTCCACTCAGAAGCCCATCACCCTTTAAAAGTTGGAAATATATGATCCCCCACTGGATAGGTCCTCCTTTTTTTCCTCTCTCTCTCTCNTAGCAGTGAATAGACGTAGTAGTTTATCTCTTCAAACTGGATGCGAAAGTTAAAAGATCCATTTGTCAGTGAATTGTGTTTACTAATACTTGCCTTTCTTTTCCAAATTGCTAGAAAATCTTTCTTATGTCATGCAATAATGATTGATAGAAAGTGCCTTGCCAGCTGTGACCACCAATACTACGCAGACATTACGAAGCTAAGGTTTATTAATCTGGTAAAAAAGAAGAGCAGCATCCTCCATCTCAAATTATTCAGAATCATCCGTGGAAGTCACTGATACAAAAGGGCCCAAAATTATAATAGCAATGCTGAATTCACCAAGTATTTGGATGTCAAAATATAATCCTTCATATCACCTCATTGAATGTATGTGCTCAGTAACAACTAGAAAGTGGTCATCCAGTGCTCTTACATGCGGATGATTCAGGTTAAGACGGAAATCCATAATTGACCTAGACAGTACCATTCTAAATGATTTCTACCAGCAATGCTCTGGTTATTGCCCATGACAACAAGCGTGACCAACTCAATCTAGATGGACAAACATGACACCTCGTCGGCATTCAGACTAAAGCCAATTAGGTTGACAAGTTCAAGCACCAGCCTCAGTTGTTCACTATGGACTCTGCTTATATAACAAGCCTTGTTCACTTGGATTCTCTCTAATTATTTTT